TCTTCTTCTTCTTCTTCTTCTTCTTCTTCTTCTTCTTCTTCTTCTTCTTCTTCCTTCTTTCTTATTCCTTTTTTCTTTTTTCTTTTTTCTTCTTGTTCTTCATTATTTCCTTTCTTTCTAATGATTATAATCTTTTAGTCTGACACTTTCGTATACAGTGTAAGTGACGGGAAGAACATGGAGAAAAGTCAGTCCTCTTTACCATATTTCTCAGAAAAGCATAATAAGGATATTTAGGGGTCTTCCGGGTTTTCCAAAAGAAAAGGATGCAATGTCATTATCTTGGCCTACAATACCATCCTTGTACTAGGATGTGTCTAGTACGCGCACGCGCTGTGTGTGTGTGTGTGTGTGTGTGTGTGTGTGTGTGTGTGTGTGTGTGTGTAAGTTGATATGAGCTTGCATTTGGGTGTACATGTGTGTTGTGATACTGGTACGTGTGTTGTAGAGTTTTTGAGTGCGTGCGTGCGTGCTTGCGCCCGTGCTTGTACATATGTGTGCGTGCGTGTGTGTGCGAGCGCGTGTGTGTGTGTGTGTGCGAGCGCGTGTGTGTGTATGTGTGTGTGTGTGTATTTAATTGTGCTTGATATAAATTGCTATTATCCCCCTCTCTACATTAATCCGTCAGAAATCTCATGGCTAATCCATTCACGTGTAACTGCCATCTGGGCTGGCTTGCTGAGTGGCTGAAAAAACGCAACGTCATCACAGGAACACCGACATGCACCGCGCCACACGATGTGAAGAACACCCCAATCCAAGATCTGAAGCCAAAGGATTTTGTCTGTGAAGGTAAAATTCCCTGTCGCTAAAGACAACTTATTTTGGAGATTCAAAAAAGGCAGCCAAAATCCCACCCACAACTTTGGTTTCGCCCGATTCAATGTATTATTTGTACAATGTAGAGACTGAAGACTGCTTGACAATTAATTTTTGGGCTTCATTTTTTTTTCGCCACGTTATAATATAGATCTAATAATATTAGAGTCTACATACAGGCCTAGATTTAACTATTGTGTTATACAGACAAGTCAGCTGTGCCTCAGATTAACTTTGTTTTTGTTTTCAGAGAACAATGAGCTCGGATGTCATGTGGGTATTCAACCTTGCTGTCCTGACAGCAACATGGGTGAGTGCTCTAACTACAGCTGCTTACTTAGGAAGAGCCTCTGTGGTGCAACCAGCATTGGTATAATTCAAAAATGAATGTTTTGATATAAGCGTTGACCAGGGAGGAGGGGTGGGGGTGTTGTTAATCGTGTGATGTTGATGCAGAATTTTCTTTTTACGGTACCAGTACAGTCTTTCAGAACATAACCTCTACAAAGTATATTGTGAATACCATTCTTCCTCATTTTGCACGATATAATCTGCCATACATGCTGAATAAACGACCCCTACTTGAGTATGATAATATAACACGCAGATTTTATATCTTGAATTCAACTTGAATTTTAGCCATGCTTTTGCAAAAACATATATTATGCCTTACTACCTTAGACTTGTTCAGCTTTTTAATTCAAAAGAGATAACAGAAATAAGCAACGCATTGACAATCCTTGTACTAGGTCAAAGTTAGGCACAATGGGAAAAAAGAAGCTATAATTCGGCGCTTTGACCCATTTCTTCAACAGTGACTGTGGAAAACAGCTGTGACCCTCGGGCCTACTGCCCCCCTAAGTGCACGTGCACTGGCACAGTGGTACGCTGCAGTCACCAACAACTGAATGAGATCCCAAAGTATATCCCCCTTGACACTACCGAACTGTAAGTACAGATTTTATGACTGTATATAGAAATGGTGTTACTTTTCTTCTTTTTTTTCAACATATCAGGTGGTGTTCAGTTTCATTTTCATACCAAAGGCTAAAATTTGAAAATAGTTTCAAGGCTGAGAATGTGGGCCTATCACATACGCAATGTATAAATCATTAATGCTGCCATATCATTAATATATTATCGTGCTGAAATTGTTGTTTTTTAAATGAAATGGAGAACTTTTGTTTTTGGCTACAAGTTGCTATTTTTCTTTTAATTAAAGTTGTTTTATTATCAACTGCAACTGTATCAACAGGATGCTTCTTCACTTGCAATGTGCTGTAGCTTGCCGTTCCATGGATTTTGTGTCCCTTTTGTTTTTGGCTGTTGATATTTTAAAAAATTTTAATTTTTTTTTTTGGGGGGGGGGAGGGGTGGTGAGTGCTTATCTATTTTTTAAGAGAGATGGCAGGCGAGTTGGGAGCAATTTTGGAAAGAAGAAAAACTCTTTTACTTCATAACTGCAATGTAGTCATTATGTGAAGAGAAGAAAGCAGAATTATTATTTGAATTAGCTTTGACTGGTAACAGTTTATAGAGCTACACCCTTCGTAGTAACTTGGTCATGGTTTTAACCATTTTGTTTTCTTTATTTATTCATTTACCCTAGATTTTTTCTCCCCTTTTTCAGCTATGTGGATGTGAATGACATTGCTAAAGTGCCATATGAGATCGGCCTTCTCACAAACCTTAAGCGCTTGTAAGTCCGGTTTGCAAATAGAACAAATAAAATGTTGTCCATTCATTTTAGCTTTTTAAATTTTCTTGCTTTTTTTATTATTATTAATAGATCTACAAATGTATGGGTAACTTTCAAAAGCTCTTTACAAAAACTCAGTTTATTTTTATTTGTACGTAGAAAACCTTATTTGCAAGCATGCTTTTTATGCATTTTTACCTAATTTCTTTTTTTAATAAATGTATTAGCTAAATATTATCATGTGCATCTCTTATGAACACATTTTATGTTTTATGCCGATGATAGATACCTATTAGGTCTGCTGCCATTTTCCATTCATAACTGATCTGTATGAATTCCTCTTGATCCCTCACAGAGACTTGAGTCACAATAAAATTGTGACTTTACCGTCAAAAATTTTCTCGAACCTCACACAGTTGTCAACCTTGTAAGTATACCAGACAGTAGTTTGCATTTGACTAATACAGGAGTTTTCTTCTGCAAAGAATATCATGTTACTATATTCCAATTTGTAAAAATTTTTGAGTTACTTAGGCTTACCGGGGTATTCAGATTTTCCTTATTATATCATATTCTTAGTCATATTATGTCAGAATCAGATTAGTATTTCTAAGGTGCATGCACTTTTTATAGGAAAAAACGATCTATCCAATATTCTGTTTTTAGACACAAGAATAATCCTTCTACACGCCACAGACAAATAAAACTGCTACCTTTGGCCTGGTTTATGTTTCAATAGCTTGATTTCTCTCAAAACCTGCCGTCTCCATAATCTTTTTTACATATTGGACAGTTCCTACCAAATGTATTTTAAGGAAGCGACTCGATTTTTTTTTTCTTTTTTGGGGTCTCTTTTTTCGTTTTGTTCCCTGCGATACCACAGTAGGCTAGATTTCACTTTGTTTGCCAAATTTAAAAAGATCTATACCAAAAGTTTTGATATTAAAATCTAATTGGATTAGAGGCCTGCTACATTCATCAATCTAATCAATTGAGTTGTACTGTATAAGAAATGTTGCTTTTTTTATTGCGGAAGTGCTACTGTTTTTGAAGAGAATTACAATGGTTTTATCGTAAAATCTCAAAGTAGACTATTTTAGAAATGTGAATGTTTGTTTCAGTTGTTTTGATTTTGTTCTGTTTGTGACTTGTCTACGTTGCTTCTTTTCAGAATTCTGAGCTATAATGATCTGCAGTGCATTTCCGAGACAAGTTTCTTCAACATGAAAAACTTGAGAATTTTGTAAGTGCAAAATTGTTATAACTTTACGTTCCAAAAGTTGTGTGCAGTAATATTTCATATTTCTTTTAAAGTTCTTGAACATTTTAATTATTCCAGTATTACTTTTTCAATATTAAGGCTAAAACACATTTTCAAAATACAAAACTAGTTTCGAACCCTGTGTTTTTATTTGGAAGGGATTGTTTATTTGTTTGTTGTTTGTTTGTTTGTTTTGTTTTTTGTTGTTGCTTTTTGGGGGGAGGGGGAGAGTGGGGATCTCAATTTTGTTGCTGCTGTCATTTTCAGTGTTTGTAGGGTAGTCACAAGAATAATGGGCTTTTATTTCATTTTAAACCAGCATTTCTGGTGTTGTGTCTTATAACTGTTATTGTTTGATTTCTTTCTTGACATACACCTCTTGAAGTTGTTCCCTTTTCCGTTTATCTTGGTTAGATTTGGAAGCATCTTGCTTACCTTTGAGAAAGAAGAAGACAAGTGCTGAGAGTTGTGGTGCCCTATATAAAGGACGTGAAACTTACAGAATTACACTTATTTCATGTACGGTTACTTTTGATTTGGCTGGTGAGTGGTGAGGGTCCTAAAGATACACCATTGTAATATTATGAATAATTAAGCAACACTTCAGTGCTTATCGTTCCTTTCCTCAGATCTCTCCATGAGAATAACATTTCTACTATTCCATACGGAGCCTTCGACAGTCTCAAGGCTTTGTCGCACATGTAAGTTCTTGAGCAATGCACAATGCATAATGGAATTTGACAATTTCATATTGTTCGAATCTAAGCAAATAAAGTTTAGGACTATGCAAAGCAAACTTGAGGGGGGGGGTGGAGAGAGTGGGGGGAGAGAGAAGAGAGAGAGAGAGAGAGAGAGAGAGAGAGAGAGAGAGACAGACAGACAGACAGACAGACAGACAGACAGACAGACAGACAGACAGACAGACAGACAGACAGACAGACAGACAGACAGACAGACAGACAGAGAGAGAGAGAGAAGAGAAGAGAAGAGAAGAGAAGAATAGAGAAGAGAAGAGAAGAGAAGAGAGAGTTTATGCCCAAGACATGTTCATCACCATTCTGGATTTCTTTCATTTTTCAGATTGTTGCCAGTGTTATGTACACTCCCAGTACAGTAATTAAAAGTGTCAGATGTTGTTTTTAATCGATCTGGATCAAAATGTCAGATACGATATCAAATTATATGCACAAACACTAGCTTGAACCGTTTAATTTGTCACTGACAGTGCCCTAGGAGGAAATCCTCTGTTCTGTGATTGTAAGCTGAAATGGCTATCGGACTGGATCAAGAAGGACTTCATAGAACCTGGCATTGCTTCCTGTAACGGCCCGACAAAGATGAAGTCCAAGTTTCTGCTCAGCTCACCATCATCTTACTTCGAATGCCTAGGTAATTGTTATTTAATGTGTGCAACGTTTGATGACATTGTTTCACACAGTTTGTGAATGCGTGCACCTACTATTAATGCTCACCTTAGACTCCCTTTCAACCACTTCACCCCCCCCCCCTCCACACACACACACACACGCGCGCGCACACACACACACACATACACACACACACACACACAGACACACACAGACACACACAGACACACACACACACACAGACACATGCACACACACTGTCCACATATAAAGAAACTTAGTTTTTCTCCTGGTAAAATTTCACACATTCTTCTGTCCCCCCAAAAAATGAAATTAGAAAAATAATGTCACTTCCTACATTTAATTCATAGGAGATCCTGACCCGACTGTCGCCCAGAAATGTGACGTTTGTCTCTTGAATCCATGTAAAAATGGGGGCAGTTGCAACACTGTAGAGTTCAAGGATTTCAAGTGCGAATGTACCCCAGGCTTCCATGGTGACGTGTGCGACCAGCAAATAGATGCTTGTTTTGGAAATCCCTGCAACAATGGCGGGAAATGTGAGGTCATGGAGCATGGGCGGTTCAGGTATGTCTGCCAACCCGTGGATTTAATCTTTATTAGATTTTTTGGGAGATGCCAATGCTACAAACACTTACAGTACTGTACATCACTGGTTTTTTTCATCTTTATTGTGCTTTCAGAAAATGCCCTTTTTAATCAGCAACCCCAAGAAATACTGGTTACCATGGCATATTATGCATCACTGATTTAAGATTAAATGACTTGAAAGTATCAACCGGCCACCAAACTCATCCTATTGATTATGTTCACCACTACACATAATTTTTAAATAATAGGTTTATCCGTCTATTTTCGTCCAGTAAAAAAAAGAAAGAAAGAAAGAAAACTTTTTCATTATTGCTATTTTTAGAGAGATAGAAAGGATTATTATTTTTGCAGCCCAAGAGTTTCGTTTCTTGGAGGAAAAGACAATCACTCCAGATCTTATAAATAATTTTACCCTAATCTCAATAGCATAATAATTCGAACCTGGAGCTTCAGTTTTCTATAAAACGTTCTAACTGAGGCTCAAACCCATGGGAAGTTTTTTAAAAATCGGGATCATTAAAATTATTGTTTGTTCTGAGGAAAGAATGTTCACTAACCTAATGACAAAAACAGTTGCCTCTTACGATAAAGAAAAATCACCCCTTGCTTCACAGAATTCACCCGTTGCTCCTATCTTTGCAGAGTTCACGAGTTTCTGGAGGACAATGATCAAGGGGAGAGCACTGAGACAAGGGACAATATATTAATATAACAAATGCGGGTGGCCCTTTTCTATTTTCAACCAACTTATAAATGTGTGTTTTGGTTTCTTTTTCTACTTACAGATGTGAATGCTTAAAAGGATTTGAAGGGGACAGGTGTGAGACCAACATTGATGACTGTGAGAGCAACATGTGCCAGAACAATGCAACCTGTGTGGATGAGATCGAATCCTATTCCTGCAAGTGTCAAGAAGGATACACAGGTAGACTTCCCTCTATCTTCACCTTTGTGATGTAGTTCTTTTTAAAAATATTATATATATAAGGTCACATCTATTATATTTTGTCTTGTAAGTCCATTTTTTATTCTTTGTATCGTTCAGTCATAAAAAGTTATTCTCAGGGTTATCTTGAATCAACTGGAATAGGAAACAAAATTTGTGAATGCTCCCGATTTAAGTCTGTTACAAATTATTTAATTCGAATTGAGAATAAAATGAAATGTGAACATGAACTATTGTTGTTACTATTATGATCTCTAATTACTGTCTTTGTTGTGCTCACAGGACATTATTAATTTAATTTATAATAATACTTCATATAGTCACTGAGAGATTCTACTGCTCTCTCACCGAATTAATCTACAGACTCCTTACAGCATTCCAGAGTCAGGTGTGATTTTTTTTGTTTATCTCAATATGTTATTCTTGCTGTTCTGTAATAATGAACTTTTATTCAAAATAAAAACCACAACAGGAAAATGGTGCGAGAATTCCATCCCATACTGCAAAGCTGGTTATAACTACTGTACCAACGGAGCAACATGTGTGGCTAAAACTGCTGGTTACAGGTGAATTCATTTTAGATAGCTATCGGGGGTTCTTGCTGGACAATTTCTCCTCTTCATCTTTTGTTACAGACATATTTCTATGAATTTTGTCTTTTATAACTTCAAAGAGGCTGTCTTTGTGTCATTGTTTTGGTTTTTGCTTCTGGGTTAGGGTTACAGGGATATAAAAAGATTTAACCAATAGTATTATCAACAGCAACAGCTCAAGGCCTTAATTTCTGCTTCATATTATTAATAATATGTTTATTGGAGGGTTGTTGGGGGTTTTTTTATATTTTGCATATTATATTGCAACTTGGAGTGCCACATTTTAATACATTTTTGGTAACTTCTTTTCTTTGGGAATTTCATTCATTAATAAAATTAAAGGATTATTACAGATTTTTTAAAGAAACCTTTTTTTCTGACATTCTTTCTTTCATTATGACGTAATTATATGTTACTTACAAAGCAGAACACTGTAATATGTTTAGTTCCAAGGCAAGAAAACTATTGTTATCAAAGTGAGTTTATAAGCACATCCCATGTTACATATCTTCCCTAGCTGCGAATGTCCTCCAGGCTTTACAGGCAAGAACTGTTCTGAGAACGTCGATGATTGTAAGTCACATGCGTGTCTTAACGGCGCTTCATGTGTAGATGGGCTGGACTCATACTCGTGCATGTGCTCGCCCGGCTACTCCGGTCGTTTTTGTGAGATTGCACCGGTGCTGGACATAGTGATGCTCCCTAACTCCCATGCCCGAGCGGCTGCCTGCCGGCTGCACCAGTGCCAGAATAATGCAGTGTGCTATCAGCCGGCCGGCTCGCCTGACTATATGTGTAAATGTGCCCCAGGTACTGCTATTAGATGGGAGCTTTGTCATTGTTGTTTAGTTAATCCAAGATTATTTTAAAATCTAATTTTATCTTTACATTCTTTTATGGGGATTCAGCTTGTACTTGTATGTAACTTATTAAGTGTTTTCTTAAATTTGAACTTTGGTAATTCAGATAGAACATTAAATAAATGCTAGTATTCCTTGAATAATTATAGAGATGATTCTATTTGATTGTTAAAAGAGTTGTTTTCATTCATGCATTTTGTTGATTGGGGTAGTAAATGATTAATGAATGGTAAAGTTGAGTCTCTTTATGTCAGTGCAGTTGGGGAAAGCAAGTTAAAGATTTTATTATATAAGAAATTCCTTAATATGATTGAAACAATTGTACTTTAGAAATGTCAAAATCTCATGATTTTTCTGACTCCCACATTACATACTGTCTAGCTTTGGTAATGTAAACATGGGTACATGAATTGATGTCTATATCTCAGATTAAATCTAAGAAGATAAGCAATTTCTAATGATTAATGTGTGGTCCATTCTTTTCTAAAAGCAGAATGCTTTTTGTTGAAACTTTGTAGTTTTTCTAATGAGAGAACGAAGGTCATTGATTTTCCTGTACTCCATCAAGAGATAGAAGCAACTTTTTTGTTGCTTTATATTTTCGCTGTGAAACACGACTAAAGCAAACGTTGTTGTCTGACTTCATCTTTACAGGGACATTGTTTCTTTCCTGCTATTTTTCCATTACGAAAGTGTTTCTCTTCTCAAGGCTTTCACTCTTGTAATGTCTTATGTAGTAGGAGTTTCTTTCACAAGTATAATTACTTATCAGGCGGTTTTTGGTAAGATACAGAACAGTTTATCCCTTTGCTGTGGCTCTATGTAGTGACATAAAGGCTTTTGTGATATTTTTTTTTACGTATTTACAAAATATAATTAAAATCAGTCTTTAACGACTCACAAACTAGTGCGTGACAAAAATAAGCATTCCCATTACTCTGTGAATTAATCTTCATGTATCTTAATACCCTCACTTGTGAGGTGGAAAAAAGGTTTGAAATACTTTTTGCAAGTTTTTCAAACCAAAATTTAACGCTTTCAATGAAAGTGACATTTTTGTGATACTACTAAGCTGCTGTAGAAAGTAATTATAAAGTAGTTGCCGCTTCATATGTCGTTGCTGCTGCTGCAAGATCCGTTCTTTTTACTTTAGTTTGTTTGTATGTGTTGTTTATTTGTTTGGTTTGGTGTCATTTTTCTTATTCCTTTCATACTTTTAGCATAGACTAAAAAGATAAAGCAACCAGTCTTTATTGTGAATTCTTTTTTGTTTTGAGGTTTCTATTATATAAAGGCAGAGTGGCCAGCTGGCCTATTGGGGCTTTTATTTTAGGTCAGCATTGCTTTGAGTTGGGTTGTTTTTTTTTACTTTTCTTTTCATCCAGATTGAGCATGTGGAATTTTTATGGCTAAAGTGGTATCATTTTTTTAAGTTATACCAATAACGTTAGCATGAATGTTGTAATAATTTTTCTAACTTTAAGTGTGAGTACCTGCTCGCGTCATTTTTTTTTCCGTCTCATGTCAGTGCATGTTCCTACTAAAAGAGCAGTTTGTGTATAAGTCTTTAGAATTCTTTAAATGAGCAGGTTACGAATTGTAAGGTAGGGACAGGGTAGACGCTCCAAATGGGGGTATTTAAAATGAAATTTCATTAGAGAGCCTGTGCTAACATATAAACGTTTTACACTTTTGAAGTAGACTTTATGGTTTATACAAAATATTTTCTTTTTTAGACATAAGTGACTTTTGGTCAGTGGTAGATATTTTTCATCGCTTTTTGGAGAGCATTGAGTTTGAAACAGTTATTGAAATCTTTCCTTCTCCTGTAATATCTGTTTGTCAAGCCTTGTAAAAATCACCAGAATGTTTCTACTGTTTTGTGGCTTGTTTACCGTGGTGTTGCTCTTTTTCTCTACTCTTAATGCATAATCTTTATCACTTTGAGAACAGTTTGGTTTCACATGATTAATGTTGCTTTGTAAGATTGATAGCCAATACCTATGACTAATGTTGGTTTGTTATTTATTCTGGTCCAGGTTTTGAGGGCAAAAAGTGTGAAAAGCTCTCGAGTGTCTCCTTTAAGGACAAAGACTCCTACGTCAAACTGCCAAGAGTGGACTTCCGCCAGATGACCAACATTTCCATCTCCTTCACCACAAAGAGCCACAACGGCATCTTACTGTATGCAGGAGAACAGCAGCACATAGCAGTAGAACTTTTCAGAGGTCGGATCAGAGTCAGTTTTGATGTCGGCAACTACCCTGTCTCCACTATGTTCAGCTATGAGCGTGTGGATGACGGAAAGCCCCATGTCGTCTCCATGGTAATTCAACAGAAAAATTTCACCATGACGATTGACAGCAACAACCTTCCCCGAACCATTGTGAATGAGGGTTCTCGTACACATCTTGATCTGCATGATGCTCTATACCTCGGTGGACTGCCCAGTGCCATCAATGCCCAAGCCTTCAAAAAATGGCACATAAGGGATGGAACTAGTTTTAGAGGTATGAATGCAGGGGGGAGAAATGCATTTATTTAGGTAGAACAGAATTTTGTAATCGTTCCTATAGAGAATTGGAGACTGGATGCTTTCTCATCAATAGCCAGTAAGAAATCAGCACGTTAATTAACTATAGTATAGTTACTGGAGATGTCACATATTGTTGAACAGCCCTTGAGGGCATACTCAGTTCTTTTCTCCTAGACTGTGAAACATCAGGTGAGATACTCAAGAATGAATATATCATTTAGTTACAAGATCTTGAATATCTCAACTTCAGCTCATGCCATGACTGTGATTTATCTTAGAGGGATCACTGATATCATAAGGTTCTTTTTGGCTGCAACAGTTTGTTTTTTTAATGGAATCTTTATTTTTCTTTTGAGCAAATTGAAGACTGCAAAGTGTTACCTTTACTGTCTCTAAATGTCATCACTCTAAAAGTTTACTTAATTTTATCATGTGTTTTTCTGTGCCTCAGTGTTGCAGACTGGGCAGATATTCTGAACTTAAGAATGGCTGTGTTATTTGAAGAGAGCTTTATAGAAAGTAGAAAGCTTGTACATAGATGTCAAGTGAATGCCAGCCGGATGACTCCCCTCCAAATCCCCAAATAGAAGGAAGAGATAAGTATGAACAAAAACATTCCACTGCCATTTATATTGCATTGTATTTTTACTATCATCAGGCTGCTTCTCTAAAGTTCACATCAATAGCAAGCAAGTTGACCTCCTGACCTCTAACGAAAGGTTCAAAGTGACCCCTGGCTGCGACTCAGTCAACAAGGACCCATGTCATAACCACCTGTGCCAGAAAGGACGATGCAAACCCAGACGTAGAAAATCTGGATACAGATGCAAGTGCAAACGTGGCTATTCAGGCACTTATTGTGACAGAGGTTTGTATTGCTGCTTTTCATCATCAGGATTTTAGTATGAAGATAGAAAATTCAAAATTGTAAATATTTAACCTTGATTTCAAAGTTGTAAATTTATTTGGGAGGTGGAACCTCCAAATTCAGCATCCACCCCTAATACCACTGTGCGAAATTGGCAGAGAGCCTAAAAAATTCTTTTAAAAACCCAAGTTCAGAAGGTCTCGTCATGGATTCGAAGTAGGGCCATCCGCTCCATAGTCCAGCATGATGCCAACTGAGTTAACTTTACTTTACTTTACTTTTATCCTCCACCTATACCCTTTTGGGTGTCGCGGGAAGAAAGAGACTTCTCTCTGCCACTAGCCAGAGAGCTTGGGTCAGGGGGATGTCATGAGTTGTTAGTGTTTCCCCGAGTCCACCTATCCAGGTCTTTCTCGGTCGCCCTCGAGCCTTGTTGCCATAGAATTTTTTTATGTGGGCACATTGTGCTGGATGGTGTGTTGGTAATCGCATGAGATGTCCGAACCATTTAATTCTTTGGTGTTGGATGTGATGTATAACATCATTTGTGCCCACCATTTCTCTGACTAGAGAATTTCTAATTTTGTCTCGCCTAGTCTTTTTTACTGCTTTTCTAAGACTTCGGGTTTCAAAATGTTGAAATTCTTTGCTCCAATGTCTTGTTCTTGGTCCATGTTGATTGAGCGCGCATAAAGTAGGAGTTCTGCTTGAGATAATACAGTCAGTATTTATTTACTGTCCATCCTTTAAGCCCAAGCCCCATAAGTCTACATAGCCCCTGTACCTGAGTTTGTGAGGAGAAACTGACTTTTGAATTCAAACTGTGTCATGCAGAGGTGGACAGAGTTTTTAGCTGAAATATGTTGTTGCCTTCAGGTTGTCCATTTATAAATGAATATATTATCTCCCACCCCTCCACAAGCTTCTCTTGATCACAGAAAAAAAGTAGCTAAATCATGTCCCTTATAAACAGCACGTGGCTGACCGTCAGGAACAGGATAATTCTACATTCTATGTAGATAAAACAGCCATTTACATAAGAATTGACCGCATGGTGAGAGGAAGATTTCACCGTCAGAGACCCCCTTAGTTTTAACAGGGAACATCAAAGAAGACTGTGGAGTGCACATTTATCCCGGTTGTTTGATCAGTATGACAAGAGCATAGTCAGATCAAGCTGAAGGTTAATCTGGTCTTTGCATTAAACTGAATAAGCTTAAGATTTTGATGAAATATTCTTTGACCTATCTACAATCAAGTATGAAAACAGTAATATCTCACTCCTACGTCAGTCTTTCATTGTCTTCTCTTTATTTCAAGAAGGTATCTAAGAGGAGGCTACGACTCAAAAAAGTTTTATCATTGTATTTCAACCTTTTTGTTACTCTTATCAGTCTGCTGAAAGAGAAAGTGAATTGGTATTGGAACTAAATGAGTGTTTTTTGTCAATATGGTTGCATACCACCTATAATGTAACACTTCTTCCTATTTTCAGTAATTATAACTTGGCGTCTGACTTGGTTTTTGTCGTTTTTGTGAAGCAAACTGGAAAATGTCTTTGTACATATGAATACCAAGTCTGCTTTTAACCAACCAGTTGAATTATATCAGTCTAAAGGTCTCTCATTCAGTGTAACACAACTGACTGTCTGTCATCGTTGAAATAAACAGCCAATATATTCATCATAATGCCAGCGTTATAGGAACGAAAAGTAAAAAATAAGCCTATCACCTTGCAGTTTGTGTTTATGGCTAGATTTTGTGTAAATAAAGTGCTCATGGAGCTGTGATCGTATGAGATAGTTTTGTGGAATTGTACAAAACGGAATTATTGAGGATAGTCATCATTTATTCAGGCCCGATCATAACTTCCCATTTGTCAAAATGTTTGTCTTGTATGTTGAGGCCGATGAAAGTCCAAAATTTGAAATAAGAAAAAAAAATTTGCCACATTCTTTAAAGTTCTTTTCTAGATTTGTTTGTTGGTTGGTTGGGGGTTGGGGGGGGGGTGAGTTGGGTTTTTTATATTTGTTTGAATTTAAGAAGTTTGTACATGATTTGGGCAGTATTTCTTTCATACGAATTCTTCATTTATTCTCTTTTCAGCTCCTACCTGCAAGACCGTTGTCTTTAGGGACAATTTCATTGACCCAACCACCAAGTGCAAGTCAAAAGCACGTATTCGGTTCAGAAGATGTGAGGGAAAATGCCACAATGGCTATTGCTGCAATCCTAAGAGAATAAAGAACAGGAAAGTTCGGCTCTTCTGCGCTGACCGGACAAGCTACATCTATGAGCTCCCCATCATTCGTAAATGCACATGCAAGAAATGTGACAAGAAGTAACCAAAGCCCACCTTTAGCATGTTACTCTTATACCACCACAGCATGTTTGTTATAGAAACAAGCCAGAATCTCTCAAGTGTAGGCTTCTTTGCATGAGATTTTATTTTGTGGATCGTGTTCAGTGAATTGGCTACTTCCAGCCTGTCATTGTGATCCTGTGGGTAATAATGGTGGAAGAAAAATAATGACTCTTGAAGCTGATTTTGCTGTGTGTAGAAATAAAAGACTCACTTATGGTAAAATATGGAGGTTTCTTGTATTGAGGAGTGTGATGTGTAGCTCTCTGTCCTTACTGAAGACTGTATTAGACCTGAGACATTCAGATCTATGGATTGCCAAGACCAAAATGGAATGATAAGAATGTCATTATGTTACAAGAGACCATGTTTTATGGACTGGGACGCTCTTGTTTAAATAAAAATACAAGTACCTGAGCTAAGGTTTGAGGATGGGTCTTCACGGTTTCAATACTGAACTTGAGATGTCTAAGGTTATTGTATGCACTCCATGGATGTGGCTTCTGGGAACCTACGTGAGGAGCTGACTCATATCTTCTTCTGGATATCTCAAGCTGGAGGATATACTTCTGCTTCTAAAAATGGCACAACTATCTATAAATACTGTTTGCCCAGTGCTTTTGTTGTACAATGAATGACTAAGACAAATGTACAAAGGACAAAAGTTTCTGTTTTATTTGAATTTCTGAGCATGAAAAATGAATCATTTCGAAGAAGTTTAAAGTTTATGTTTTTAAGCGATTAGAAGCTCCAATAACTTGAGAGTAGCTGATTTACTGTCACTGGCATAACTACTTGTTAATACTTTCAGACTATTCAAATCTTAATAATCTTAATTTCCAATCTCTCTAGCTCTTACAAAAAGTAATGAGTGATTTTGGAATCAGATTCCTTTTTGTCTACAAACCCAATTTGCAGATATTAATTTGTGACTTGGACACTTTCTACCCAAAAACCTAAGGGCTCAAAAATGCCCATAGTACAAGAGAAATTATTGTTTCATTAAAGGACCCATCATCGTGAAAGAAAGACTTCTGCCTAGCCATCAAACAAGATGCAGAATGTTATGCATGTTCATCATGACTAAATCTGGCCAAGGATTGATAGTGGGCCTACATGACAAGATAACTTATCAAGATCTACCTCAAATTGCTTCGTCACACAAGCGACTAAATCAACTTCTTTGTTAACTGTTTAGCACGATGTCATTGTCTTGATGAGCTGCATATTTTTTTCTGTTCAGTTTTCATGCCAATGTGATTGGTCAGTATGATAAATATACTAATGTAATGTTTTTGTCATGGTATGCATAAATACCACTCCATGTTTTCATATGATCATGTCAGTCTGTTCTGGATCTTTTATTTGTAGTGGTGGATGAGGGAAGAACGAATTTTGATTCTCTTCAATTACATGTCTTTTTTGTCTTCTCTGTGTATCAGTGTGATCCACGCAAAACATTTTTAGACCTTTCAAATATAAAATACGTTAGAGGAATCCTAAATCTTGAAAAAGCTCCAAACTGTAATAGCGGCTCATAATTTCTTTTTTGTCAAAGAATTGATTGGGCTATAATTGCCACAGCCGCTTAGGTTTGAGTTGATGACCTGAAGTGTCTTACAATAAGGCTCTGGAAATTTGTTTCTCAAGGTTTTTGGACCACAGACTTGAGCAGGTAAATAATCTTGAAACAAGAAGTGAGATATAAAATTACATATGTATTATGTGCTGTCATATTTAACAAGGATCATCAACAGAATGGTTTGCACTTTTAAGTTCTATTACTGGTCACATGTTATGATAAAGCTTTTAGATCTGCTCTTTGTTCTTTAATCTTGTCTCATAGTGAGATGAAAAATTCTGCTTTTAAGTTTTATGTAACATTGATTTTTTTTCCTCTATGACTTTTTCATTGTAACGTTTAAGGTCAGTGGATTTTAAAAATGAAGTTCATTTCCCCAAACTGAACAATTTGGAACATAAGGGGGAAAGGGGAGGATGGGTGGATGTTCCTTCAATTTATTTGTTCTGAGGAATAATATCAGAATATGAAAGCTTTTCAGTTTACTGATGTGAGTCGTAACAATTTTTCTGCAAACTTTATCAATAAATGAAATGATTTGCACTTTTTGTGATTTAGATAAGTGTGTTACATCATAGTCAGAATAATAATGAAATCAAAGAATACAACAATTTTCTGTTCGTTTGACAATGTTCAGCGAAGTCCTTTTAAAAACACATTTCTGTGTGAGTTTTATGTGAAAATCATTGAGCAAAGCCACAAAATAAATTTAATTTGCAGTTTCCAAGGATACTACAACTTTGGAAGTCACCAAACTATGGCAGCCCTTTTCTCGCTAATTTTATCTCTAACACCAGGCAATCCCCACCTCCTTCAATTTCAACTATCTCAACTTCTCTTCAAGAAAGATAGGTATTTTTTCATAAAAAGCAAGACAATTAAACAAGCTTTAAGATTATAGCAATATCTGCACATGCCCAAAAACTGATGAGCGTCTGATTCCACCGCGTCGTGACACAAATCTTTTGAATGTTTTTTCCTCCTCTTCTTAGCACTTTATCAGTCTTTCATATTCTCTTAATCACATAGATCTTAATTAAGCCAAACTACAAATGCAAAGAAAGAGCACAAAAAATTCCCAGAAACGGTATCCCTAGCTTCACCCTTGGCCCCCTTCTTTAGACAGTTTGCCACTTCAAAAATAAAAATAACAATTTTTCTCTTAACTCTGTTAAGAAAAAAAAAGCTAAACTTTGAGGAAATGAAGTAGATTTTGTTTTTCACAAATGAAAAAAATTGACAGTGCTTGTAAATAAAGAACTTGTTTGTTATTATATTCATATAATTTGAAGAATGAGGGTAAGATTCATTGACACAACTTGCTGTCAGTAATGGACTCCTATGTTCCGCAGTCCCTGTTTTAGTTTTTGTAATCCAAGGTACATTCATAGTTTGCATCTATTTATTTTGATTTCATTGTACATTCATTATATTTTGCGATCTTAAGAATGTGATAACAGAAAATGTGCAGGATGAGACCATAGTAAGGGGTTTTTTTTAGTTACGGAAGAGTAATCGTAAGTTTAACTTTGTTTTATGAAGTAGGATAGTCTATTTTATGGCAGATAGAAAAAGAAAAGAAAATGTTACACCAGTCTCATTTTTTTTCCTTTTGGAATTGACTTCATACCTTTTTTTGTTCTGATATTTTCCTATTGCCTAAATAGTTTAGTTGCCTGAGAGACATTTTTACACTAGAAATCATTTTAAAGCAAGAATTTTTGTTTCTGTGAAATATTCCTCACCTTGCACAGAGTAGCATGAATGCCAAAGATTTTTTTCATACTTGTATATATATATATATTCACAGTCTTTTCATTTTCTATAGCTGCTGTTTTCCTTTTGGGGTTTTTTTTTCTTTTTAATTTGTTTTTTTGTTTTATTTGTTTTGGGTCATTTTTTGTTATTCCAAAGTTGTCACAACAAGCCAAAGTCATATGTAAAAAGTTTATGATCCTTCATTAATCTGTTTATATACCTATAGATTGACAATCCCTGCATTGTTTAACTATACTGTGATGTATGCATTGGTCAAATGGAAAAAGAATGTGTATTTTTATTGGAAAGATATTTTGTTCAGAAAAATCATGTACTATACTGCTGCTGTTGTGCATAAACCTGGACTTGCTGAGGTCATAATGTGCTTGATCTATTCTTGGCTTCAATTGTGAAAATTTGTTATAACTGCTGTAGCCATTCATTGTCATTTTACAGATGTTTTATGAAGAGCTCTGCAATGATTTTTATTTCTCATGAGTGTGTTCAATGAGATCAGAGATCATCATTCTTTTTTTCCCGAGGGATGAGATGGAGAGTGTGAGGGAACGTTGAGGTGTATGTGTGGGGTATATACACACACTGTGTGTGTGTTTGTGTGAGTGAGAGTGTGTGTATGTGTGTGTATGCTTGTTTGTATATGTGTGTGGGAGAGCGAGAGAGAGAGACCGAGACCGAGAGGGAGAGAGAGAGAGAGAGAGAGAGAGAGAGAGAGAGAGAGAGAGAGAGAAAGAGAGAGGGAGAAAGGGAGTGGGGTTGGGGACAAGAAAAATTACAACATTTTGGGGGAGGGATGGTTGAAACGCATTGCTATGAAATGAATTATTTAGTATTTGTTTTAACGTATTTTATTATATTTACCCTATCAGAGTGAATCCGTGTGGGCATGGACAGAAGATGAGGTAAACCAGTTTGACTGTGTCGTCCTATTGGGCTTGTCAAAATGTACACTGCAATATATGTGTAGATATATGTATCATTTTTATTAACGTGTAGATTTATGTTCTGCTTAATGCTTGACTCCCTGAAATTTCTTACAAATATGGAAAAAGCAACAAATTCAGTGAGGTTTTGTCCTGCTGGAATATGTTGTCTCCTCACCCTTGAAATTTCTATTTAAACATGACCTGTTTCTATCCCCAGCCCACCCCAGTCCAGTCTCTGATTCATCTGAATCCATAGCTGACCCAAATCTCAAGCCCACTTCTAAATAATTATTATTTATATATTCGCTCTGTCCAGAGGACGATATCAGTGACTTTGTGCTTGAGGTGTGTTCAGGCTGTGTTGAGCTACCTGAGCACTGGGGATCGAGTGGGTCCTCACCTGTTGAAAGAGAAATTTGCCTGGCTTATGTGTTGCAGTCATTTACTGCGCATTTTGGAAAAGGGATGCTAGACGGCCCCACATTCTGAGCTTTGTTCAAGCTCTATAAGAGTTTCTTGGGCCATGTTTTGGGCTATGATTTTTTTTCATTAGTCCATATTATGTCATATGGAGGATACATTGTTTGCACCTGTATCACCATTTCTTTTAGAATTTTAATTCTGTGTCTGCTGAGTAGATTGTAATATATGTTTGTGTGTTGGTAAAGTGTTCGTCTTCCATGTTTATGTACTTGATAGAAGGTTGTGAAGATAAGGAATACGATGTGTTGTCCTTAGTGTGCTTTCAACCTGTAAAAAGAAGACAGAAAACTGGTATTGGGAACGGACTCTGTCTGACAGTTAACCTTACATGTAGAGTTAATTTACCACACATGTAAAGTGAACCGAGTTGACATTTTCCAGCAGTAGTTGTTATTTGTTCTCACCAACATTCTGACTTGAATGAATTTGATCTATGTGTTAGAAACAATTAGCCAAGAAGCATTAGGCATTTTCTACAGTGGTAAACTTTTTTGTATAAATGATTTAGTATCATTAGAATATGACTGCATGCTATTTTATGCTCTCCGTGTCTATTGCTTTGTTTATAGTATACTTGTGTTCTCAGCTATTGCTTCATGTGTTATCTGAGTTAGTTTCTTTTGATTTCTAAATTTCTGTAGCTCATCCTCTGTCAGTTACCATCTCTTAACATTCATTTCATATCATATTTTTGTTTCACCCCCCAAAATTTCTTCTCAGACATAGGTCCCAGCTCATTTCACTTGATGATATTTTTTTGTGTCTGTATATTTGCCCTTATAAATAAAATGACATTGTTCATCAAGCGTTATGTCTGCTATGTTCTACACACTTTACCTGCAGCCTGGTTGATCCCTGGGGGTCATTGTTGGCTTTTTACCTTTGTTACGTTTTAGACAGTAGCCTATCTGGAATTGATTTCATGACTTTCAAGAGTATAATCTCCTTTTCTCCTCCATGCCTCCACCCTCACCCGGCTACTTTTTCATCTCCTCATAAAATAGTACGCCCTACTTACCCCATTAAGAGGTCGTAGAATATTTCCGATGACAAATTTTCTTTTATAGTGCCAGCTTGTGATGATATGTTAAGAGGAATCTTTTTCTTTTTTTTTTACCAAAAAAAGCCCCAAAACATGAATGCCGAAATACTTCAGCGATCAAATTTCAGAACGCCTTAAAAAGTGGGTTTATCTGGAAACAACTGATTGCCAAAGTTTTAATGTAACAGCAAGGAAATCCCATGGCAGTTTTGAAAGCTTTTTTTTTTTCATTTTTATAAATTCATGTCTCCTCTTTCTCCAATGAGTGTACTCTTTGTCAGTGCTATTAAGGGTAGGGAGAATAGAAACGCTGCAGTTTGTCTTGGTCTTGTCCAATAAACTGTATGAAAAAATATTTGATGAATGTACAGTACGATATTGTTGAAGTTTTCTTCAGTAATATATTATTATTGAGCTTACGATACCTTCTGTGAGAATCACGACTCGATTTCACGAACCTACCCCTTGTTACCATTATTGTCATGATACTTTTTGAAGTGGTTCAAGGGAAATAATCAAGGAAACTTAAGTGTAAGAGAAGATACTGGGTGGTGTTCCTTGTCCTGGCATAACCTTTGCTTCGAGCAAAGTGGGTTGATATGTTATTGAAATAATTGCACATAATAGATCTAGTACCGTTCGACGTGTTGAAATGCAGGATAATATATAATAACGCGTCTCCCCCCCCCCCCCCCCCCCTCCTTTTTCAACCACCCTTTTTATTGTCTGCCGTTCTCACCCTCTCTATTGACTAAAAGTTTTATGCCCTCCTCTTCGAAACAGTTTAGAGCATTTAAAGGCGGTTGTTTCGATCCACCGTGTCTTGACCAACCCAGACGAAATGAGTTACAGCGCCCCAACACAAAGACGGAGATTAAATAAAATCTTTCGCATGGGTCAGTTGGACTCGCCTGCTACTTGTGTTGTAGGAAAGAGTAACATCATTAGCTGTAAGGCTTACACTGCAGTCTGCATGCAGTAAGCTTCCTTTACGTATATGGGACTACGATTTAAGCCTCGTTGGTTCCAACACCAAGACAAGATGAGAAAAGGAGATGTCTTCCTCTTTATTAAGTAACACCATTTTGAATAGAGACAAAGGCAGCTTTTACCATTTTCTTTTGTGAGTGGTTTTTGGCGCTGGCAACTGCGTAAGGTCATATGAGGCCTATTTCATTTTTCTGTTTGGTAGAAATTAATGTTTAACTTTGCCCGGGTGGCGGCCGAAGCCTACTCATCGATTTTAGGACCACCATAGGAACTTTAACTTGCACAATCTACACAGGGGACCTCCGAGATTTTTTCCACCTTATCCGAGAAAACTAGGTGTTTGATCTTACCTACCCTAAGATCAGAGGTGTGGCTCAATGGCAGCAGTAAGACGGATCAAGGAGTAGCAGTAGAAAGATCCACGAGCCCAGAGGAAGGGGGAGGTGGGCTGAAAGTAAGGATGAGAGCAGATGATAGAACATGATTTGAGAGCAGAAAAGGAGATGAAAGGAAAAAATTTCAGACAAAAAGATTTTCCATCCCCTTCAGATTACGAACCCGAGACCTATTGAATGAGAGGCGAATACCTTACCTCTGAGGGGTTGAATAAAGAATAGGAACCTTAAATAGTCATATAAAGTCGGATCATTCAGTGTATGCGTAAGCGCGTTTGTTTTTGTTCGTTGTCTTTTTTTTTCTTTCTGTATGTGTGTTCGCGCGTGCGCGCGTGTGCGCTCGCGCAAGTGTGTGTATCTGTGTGTGTGTGTGTGTGTG